GTAAAAAATGTAGTTAACATTTACTGAGGCCTGTGTGCCAAACCTGTTCTGTTTGTGGATTTTATGTAACCCTCACAATGGCCCGTTGAGGTGGCCACTGTGATCCCCGTGTTCTATGTGCAAGTGAGGTTGTTTCGATTCCCCGTAGGCAGTAAGTGGCAGAGGCAAGATTACAACCAAGGTTCTTGACTGGTTTGCTGTGCTGCCTTCCGTAGGTAAAGCTTCTTGCCTTCCCTGGAGTAAAACATTTAGTCTCAAAAAACACAGCATAGAAAGCTATTCATTACTAAGCATTTTGGATTGCTCTCCAAAGTGCACATGTATATCCTCCTAGAGAGACATTTGTATTTCATACTTGCATTTCATTGATTGAAGAGTACAGTGTCCTGAGAAGTTAAAAAAACTAATATAAATTCCAGGCTTATACTTGATAACTTAGATTATTTTCTCTTTCCCTTGAAATTAATAAGCAGCCCCACTGCATCTAATTATGACTTATTATTTGTAGAGAAGACTGAAACCTGACTTTTTAAATATTTATCTCTCTTGGGTGTTAGGAGAATTAATGCCGGTTAGCTAGTTAAAGTGTGTTAAGTCCTTCGAGCTCCTCAGAGGAACGCAGCCATGTTATTATAGAAGTAACAAGAAATAGGCCATTCTGATTGCAGTGAATGAGCAAAAACATGGCCGGGTTGGCTGTAGAATCTGTGTGGGTAATTCCACGACATTTCAACAATTAAAGCTGCTCTTTTTTTTTTTTTTAACATTTTTTTATCGAGTTATAATCATTTTACAATGTTGTATCAAATTCCAGTGTAGAGCACAATTTTTCAGTTATACATTAACATACATATATTCATTGTCACATGTTTTTGTGCTGTGAGCTACCACAAAATCTTGTATATATTTCCCTGTGCTATATAGTATAATCTTGTTTATCTATTCTACATAGGCCTGTCAGTATCTATAAATTTTGAACTCCCAGTCTATCCCTTCCCACCCCCTGCCCCTTGGCAATCATAGGTTTGTATTCTATGTCTGTGAGTGTTTCTATTTTGTATTTATGTTTTTTTTTTTTTTTTTTTTAGATTCCACATATGAGTGATCTCATATGGTATTTCTCTTTCTGGCTTACTTCACTTAGAA